TTTAAAAACTATCAACCCAAAAGAAGAAAACAGAAAACTATAACATGTAATATAAAACAAAATGCTAGAAGTAAATTCTAATGATCACTAATCAAAATAAATACATTTCAAGAAATGAATCTGTTTAGACAACATTGGTAGATGAATTAGTCAATATGAGCAATCCATATTGAGGTTTAAAATAAGTGACCCTAAAATCTTAGTGAATACAACAACAAAGATCTTGGTTTCAGTTATGTATTGCTTTAAACAAATTGCTTCATATTCTTTTGAAAGTATGTATTCTCTTTATTTAATTCCCCACACCACCACCATCCCTGGGTCCCTTTGTCCCTTTCCTTCCCCACCTTAACTTCAGAGACTCAAGGTGTTTGTTGACATCCAGTTGATTTTGAAAGCATTTTTACATGATCAAATTGTCCATTGAATGAATGTCCAGTGTTTACCAGTCTGACTTGCTTTGTTGCATATGACTCTTTCAAATGTTCTCCATTTTGTTGAAAATGACTTCATTCTATCCTTTCTTTTGACTATATAATATTCCATGATTTTTATGTACCACCTCTTTTTGATCTAAGTCTGATAAATGAGATTTAAGTTACTTCCATGTCCTAACTAGAGTAACTAATGCTGCTGTGAGTATTATAGAACATGTAAAACCACTCCAAGTCATAATAGTTTAAAACAACAATGATTTGTTAGTTCACATGATGCTACAGTTTGCTTGGACAGTTCTGTTCTCACTTAATGTGACTGCATTTGTGTGCTGGGTTAGTTGGAGATGAAAGACCAAAGAGGGCCTCACCTTGGTAGCAAGTTAGAAGGCTGAAACCTGTCTTTACAAAGTCCATCATGATTCATGGTCTAATGCAAGCTTCTTTGCCCAGCATTGGTAGGCCCTTTGACTGCCTGGTAGAATCAGTCTCTAAGAGCTGGCCAGACTGATATTTGAGAGTCACATTTGAAAGTCACAATCCAAGGATTCTGGGCTTATTATCTGCTAAATGGACTGATATTGCCCACATATACTTAAAGCGATTATGAGAAGGATCAAATTGGCATGGTTGTTGATCAAGAGCACTTTGGGATCCAGAGAGACCTGAACTTGAGTTCCTGGTTTGCCACTTACCAGATATGTGTCCTTGAATAAAGCATCCTATTTGAACCTCAGTTTTCATCATCTGTAAAGTGGGGATAGTAATACCTCACTCATGGGAATCACATGAGGACTAAATGAAAGGTGTGGGAAATGCTTCACATATGCCTGACACATTCAAAGTATTTGTCAGAGACATTTGTTTCCTCCTCCTCAGAAACTATCTCTAGCATGAGCCAGGGTACAATTCTTATTTTATGACTACAGTGAGTTTCTTGACAATTTTCCTTAGACTTAAGCCTAGCCTTTCATAAGCAAGTGTCCATGCTTTCACCATTCCTGGTAAGACAGACTTGTAAATAGTTATTAGCCTACTTACTTGGGACTAATAACTTGATATCTTTGCTACCAGTACAGTGCCAGAGTTGACTGTCTTCTATTTCACACACATGCGTGCATGTGCACACACACACACACACACACACATACACACACCGCATCTTCTCTCTCAATTTACAAACCTAAACTGTGGGGTAATAGCCCTGCAGCCTTCAAAAGATCTAGAAATATTTTAGCTTATTAACAGTGGATATCTAAAGGTTTGTCTTTACAACAGCTATGGAGGGTTGCCCCCCCCCCTCCCAAAATTGCATGAAACCAAAAGGTTGGCTTACATTGACTCTGGCCAATTCCTGGCAGGTGTGTGCCCTCAAATGGACTTCTTCACCTTGTTCTCAATATTCCAGGTCAGGAAGGGGGGAGGGGTGTGGGGTAGCAACTGGATAGAATTAAGGGACAAAGAAAACCACCTCTTTGTCACAGAGTCAATTCTAAAGTCTCCCATCCTCTCCCAGCAGTAAATTCTTAATAATCCAAAAGTTTACTTATTTATCCATTTTTTAGCAGAAATCAATTATATCTTTGCACTAGGGAAGGAAATAAAGAAGGTTGTAATTAAGGAGCTTTCCCAAATGTTTGCCCCAGCAACTCTTCCCACAGAACGCAGAAAAACTACCACATCTGGTGAGCCTGGGGTTTCCCCCGCAGACCCTCAAGTGAATTCCAAACCAGGAAATCTTGAGAAAGAAGCAGGTTTCCTGTGGGGCTATGAACTTGCATCTCTGATCCCATCGCCGCCCTCCTTCATTTTAGATGCCCTGATAGGCTAGGGTAGGGATCCGGAGTTTCATACTTCAGGGCATTTTGGGCCGGAGAGATCCCTTTTCCAGGCAAGCCCAGCGCGGCCAATTCTTGGGGCGCAAGAAGGCGCTGTTGTCTGCGGCGGGCGGACTCGGCCCTCGCGGATCCCGAGGAAGGCAGCAATAAGCAACACAGAGAAAACCCTCTGCTGACCTTCCACCAAGGACCTAGGTCCGAGCCCCTCGGCAAGGCAACGCCATGAAGTCCTCCCACAGAGGGCCGAGCCTGGCATAATCCTCGTCTTCATGTAAATGAGCTAATCCTGCAACATTTCTCCCCTCCGGGCTGAGAGAAGGTAGGGGTAGCGGTAGACCGAAAGTTAAAGACTTCCTTCCCAAAGTGCCAAAGCGCACAGAGATAAGTCAGAGAAGCCCCAGTGGGCGCCCTACGCTCCTTAGGAGAGATCGGGTTGTGCTGCTAAAACCAGTATCCGGGAGAGGAAATCCCGTCCATCCGCGGGTTTCTAGAAGTTGTTGCTTACGCAAGGGAAAGGAGCGGTCCCGAGTTACCAGAGGCAATTAGCAATTCTGAGAAGGAGCTTCAAGATGAAGTGAGGACAAATGGTCTGCAAGCGTTTCCTCGCTGCCCAGGGCAGGGTCCCCGTCCGCTTTAACTGGGGAGCCCCCATCCGCCGGCGGGAGGCGGAGTCCCGCCAGCCACAGCACTGTGGAACTGTTTTCAGCCGCTCCTACCTAGGGGGCGCGGTGCGCCGCGGTGCAGTGAGGAATTCTTCCTCCAGCGAAGGAAAGCGCCTAGCGCCTCGGAAGGTCCTTTTCTTAGCCAAAGCCTCGCCACGTACCACTCGTGCTTCCTTTCTCTCTAACAAGTCCATGATGGAGTGGGGGCACTTTTCAAACCCTCAGAAGAAGCAGCACTTCCTCCCCAAACTCCGCCGAATTAGGGGCTATGGAGAAGACCCGAGCTTGAACTACTTGCTTTCTATCCCTTGAATAGTAAATGAAAAGATCATAACAGTTCCTTTGCTTGTGCCCGACTTATTCTCCTACTCTCTGTCTCCATTTTTTCCATAAAGGAGGTTATTCTCGACTGACACAGTTACAAATGTGGCCGTAATCCCAGCCTTGCCAAGAAAGTGGAGTAGAGAAAGAGTTTGGAAAGGAGGGTGTCTGCGCTCCTCATTCACATCTGCACGTGTCTAGCCCACATTACTCTTCACCTCCCATCTGCACCCCACCTCCAAAAATTCTCTGGCGCAGGCGTATCTGAACTTTGCAGTGGGTAGAGGGAGCTAGTGATAAGGCTGAAACTGGACCTTTCTCCAGCAGCTAGTGAAAATTGGGCAGGAGGCGAGGAGAGTGTGTGCCGAACTGGGAAACTGGATTTGACCTCCTGGGTGAGAGAAGCAGTTAAATCCAGAACTCTCTTTTCCACTCGGGCCCCTGCTACACCACCAGGACTGGCCCAACAGGTTTTTGCGAACACTTTGAAAGCCGAGGGAAGGGCCAGCCCCGCCGGGACAGGAGGCTAGTATTCCTGGGCACTGAAGTCGCTGGGTCACAAGCCCGACTGGCTCACAAGCTATGCTGGGCCGACGGCGGCTTGCGGGTGTGTAGACTCCGCGGTGCACAGTCGGTCTGTTGTGCCTTCTACCCGCAAGCACAGGGCTGTTCTCTTAATGAATTACTAATGAGTTAAAATTGGGCAGCAGGCTTAATTAAAGCGTAGAGGCAATGTGTTTACCACATTGTAATTGAACTCATTAGGGCTATGGCTTTTTGTTTTTAAGCAGGCGCCTTCCTTTTCTGCGTCGAATAATCTATGGGAAGCGTTTATTAGAGAAGGAGGGGGTGGGGGGTTGGAACAGTCCATCAATTCTTTCAATGAAAAAGACAGGATGAGAGTGGGGAGGAGGAAACAACCTCCACTCCGCAGACGTCTTGGTGGAACCAGGATTAGACTTAGGCTTCCCAAGACATTCCAAATGTAGTGACCCAGTGAGCGCTGCCGCTTCTGGGGGCTGGGAAGTTGCCAAGGGAGTAAAACCCTCCCTAGCCGGAAAGATTGCAGTGGTAACACCACACAGTGTTCCCAGACTCCGGGTACCCCCACCTTCCCTGCCCTGAGCGCTGGACTCGACTGGAACTCCTGCCCAACGCGCAGGGGCCACGTGGCTCGACATTTCATAATGAGAAGTAACCACCTGACTTTTCTTTAAAAAGTGGTGTATGAGTTTGGCCCTAAAGCTTTCCTTCCTGGAGATGCTAAGCAAGACTTACCCCTACTCCGTTCTGAAGAAGCACAATGGGTGCCACTGACCATTTCTCCCTAAGGAATCTGCCTTTTCCGCCCGGACCTCAGGCAGTCGTTCCCTCTGGGGAGGGGGGGAGGCTTGTCCCCTTTTGGCAGACTGCCCAGGGCCACACTGAAGAGACGCACCTGCGTGCCGGGGGATAACCCTTCTCCTGGACAGAAGCCCCAGCTGCAAGCCTGGGCTGCAAGCTTCTGAGGCAAATTACTCCCTCTTGCCCCTGACACCACTCAATTTTCAGGCCTTCAACACTTGCTTGCCTCCTTTCTCCCCTGTCTGGACCTCTGGACGTCGAAGGGTGAGGGGTGTGGGTGCTGAGGCTATCGCTCAACGCTCCTCTCCTTGCCCTGCCCTGCCTGGCCAACAGGCGGCGTCAGAGACCTAGGTCTGAGCTGGGGAGTGTGGGGGTGCAGATCCCAGCAAGCTAAGCCGAGTAGCTGGGCGCAAGTAGAGCGACCCTCACCCCAAACTTGCGAACTTGCCCAGGAGGGGTGTGGGAAGAACTGGTTGGTTACGGGGAACCGCAGAGAAAGGGAAAGGCAGGACCGGACAGAGTCTCCGTGGAAGACCCGACCGCCAGCAGGAGTGCACAGGACCGGCGGCGGCAGGCGGCGGCTGCTGATCCCGCGCGGGGGAGGCGGCAGGAGCCGCGGGAGGCAGAGAACAGCGGCGGAATCGCGGAACGCAAGGCAGGCGGGGAAGACCTAGTACGGAGGGCTGGAGACAGCGAGGGCGGCGCAGACAGGTAAGTGGCGTAGTCCTCCGCCCTCGGCCTCCCTCCTTTGGAGAAAACTGGGCTGAAAGGGACTCCAGGAACTTCCGGCCCCTGACACGACCCCACAGCTGACCGCTACTTCCTCCTCTCTTCTCCCGCCTTAAATGCGCAAGCCGCTATCCCGCATCATTTGTGGGTTTTGTCAATCTCCCACTCTGTCCATCCCCCACCCCATCCCATCTCCTCCCTCAGCCTGACCCCGGAGGTTGAGGTAAATTGTCTCTAATTTGTTGCTAAAAGATTAATAGCAGAGGGTGGGTCAATTTGATTAAGGCAATTAATCTTTGAGTATAGAGTTCTAGTGTCACTTGTGTGGGAGAGAAGGGGGCTTTAGAGAGAAGGCACCGGAGACTTTTTGAAGAAGCTGTAGCGTCTACCTTCTGCCTGGTACTGCCGCCACATCTTTGAGCCAGCACTTTGGTAGCGGGGAGCATCGGTGCCCAGAACGCGGTTTCAGCACTCCAAGCCCGGACAGCGACTCCCGCGAGCGTGACTAGTAACTTCCGGGTCCCAGGAGTTTACCTCTGCAGCCAGAGGCAGTAGCCAACCTGGACCAAGGGTACAACCACCGCGCCCCCACCCCCGATCTCGAGTTCTTGACCCAACTACTGGGGCTCCTTTATCCAACTTCAAAGTAGGACTATCAAATAAAGTACTTGAAAATACCCACTACTCAAACCCACCTGGAGGCGGGAAAGGGAAAAACCCCCAAACGCTACTAGAAAAGTTCCCAAAGCTGGAGTTTTTTCTTTTCGTGAATAATTAAAGCTGGTCATAAATAACTGATGGAAGCTGTGGAGAAAGGAAGAGGGAGGAGGCGGGCGAGAGTCAGGGCAGCCAAAGAGAGATCGAAGAGTTTGTTAAAGAACCATTAAGAAAGGCTTGCTGGAAGCGGCATTCCTCCTCCGTAGATCTCACAGAGCGGTTCCACCCACGAGTGGGGTAAAAGCAGAGAAGCAGATTGCTCAGGGGACCTGAGCTGACCTAGGCAGGAGCACCCAGTCTCAGCATTTTCTCCATCCCCTCTCTTCCTCCCTGGACTCTTCTTCCCAAAGACCTTCAGACCTTGAGTCACCCCTGTGTCTAGGCCCAAAGTGCAGAAGTTCTAGGATAGAGAATAATGTCCAGAAATGATTCTGGGCTTAGCTGTCGATTCTTCTCAGACAGGTGTCAAGTCCAACCCAGTCTCAAGTAATTTTTACAGCCCCAGCCATCCCCCAAAACTCACACACACAGACATGCCAGATCATACCCTCTCATTCTTTTCAGATAGATCCAATTTTGGGACTCAAGCTTCCAGCTGGTTCTTTACCTACTGTCCACATCAGAATATGGAAGAACAGGTATTTTCATACATACACACACCTCCATGTTCTTCCACTGCCCCTCCACCATCTCAAATTCCTGACTTCTAAGGATGTAGAATATGGAATCTCTGGCATTTGTATTCATCCCTGCTCCGAACTGAAAGTCTCAGAATTGGAAGAAAGTTCAAAAGGAAACCCTTCCTCCTAGCTCTATGTCAGAACCTTTCCACCCTAGTAGGAAGCCAACTTCAGATGGCCAGTGCATGTTTTTAGAATGAAAACTCCTGAGGGTCCTCAGCCAAGAAGCCAGCACAAGTCACCGGGGCTTTTTGAGGTCATCTCACAAACAAAGCTACATCTTTTCCCAGGGCTATTTGGCATAAGTACTGGGAAGACAACATTGTGGATTGTAACTACCACCACTGGCTATAAGCCTGGGTTTTGGCAGGCAGGGGCCTCTCTGAAGCTATCCACTAGATAACAGCTTCTACTATGCTCAATTATCTAATAACCAGCTACTGACCTCTGGATATATCAAGAACCAGTTTGGTTTTTTGGGGGTGGCTGCTATGAAAAACTTCCAAAGAGAAAACTTGGTGACCAGACCTCCACGAGCTTAGATTTTTTTTTTAATGAAAATTCTGTCTTTGTGTGGTATCTTCTTTATGTGCTATAAGAGAGAATACTAAAGTAGTTTAATTTCTCACCTATATCATTTCCATCACAACACTTGCCAAATCCTTACTTCTTTTTAAGAACTAGGAAATTTTGAATAGGGAAGAAAAAACGAGAGCAAATAGGAAGGATTTAGGGAATTGTCTCTACCTCAATAGAGACATAACAACCCAGAAGGATTGTGAAACTAGACAAAGGAATAGAAAGAAATCAGATCTGGGGGGGTGGGGGGGCTAGCCCTGGAGTCATGGGTTGTTTACTGCTCATATAAAATATAACTCCCCCAAGCAGGAAGTTACTGCAAACAAGTATCAATAATGAATGAATCTCCTGTAATAAAATACTTACATAATTAGCACAAGTCAAGTGGTTGCATTATGTTAACCTTTAGCAACTCTGAGCTGGAAAATTTTGCTCCAGAATTCCTCAGAATGCTGTTTTCATTCTCCAGAGAGGATGAGAGCCAAACATTCACCCAGCTTTCTACTCTGTTATAATATGGTTTTCCATTTCTGAACCAGAACGTAAGTACTTCTGAAATATAACAGAAAACTCTCTTTGGTGAATTCAGAACAGTCATTAACATTCAGTTTTAAGTGAATGTTAACAGTAAATAAAGAAATCTCTTGATTGTAATAGTAGTAACAAAGCAATAATTACCCAGTAGGTGGTCATCAGTAATGATAAATGTATCATTATTACTGTGTGAGTCTGGGAACTCGGTTTTGGAAACTACTTCAGACTTTTTAGTAGCATGGCTGGTTACAAAGCATTTCTTAGCCTGCAAAAGCCATATAATTTTATACACAATTTAGGTGAAAATAAATTTAAATCTGTATATTACATTTTTAATTTCAAGTTAGTAATTAAAGTTGGTTCATTATATCTCCTCTGAAACCCTCAGTGCTCATCTCCATGGTTTGTTTGTACAATTTGTTTCTAAGACACCCAAGGTTACACAGTTCTAAAAGATGGAAAATTTAATTATTTGCCAACATTAAGAGTTTGTTGATGATATCATAATGCATCTTGAAAAAGTTTGGGATTGGTATTGCCTTTGATTTGGTTAACTATGCTTTCACTCTGAACCCCTAACTCTGTGGAAGAAAGCTTTATTGTTTAAGAACTTGCTTTTAAGTACACAAAAATAGAAATTTCTTCTCAATTTCTTTCTGAATATTCACTGGTTTCTTTCTTTCTTTCTTTCTTTCTTTTTAATCAATGGCTCATATTTCTAGCCCCCTCTAGGATTTATTTTACTAATATATAATTTCACCTTTTGCTACCATTGAGTTAACAACAGCAGGCCAGAGGAAAATGAAGGTGTAATGCTTGTTGGGCAGCCAGACAGCACATGCTAGTTTAATAGTGTCTTAGCTAGTGGGCTCATGTTTGATGGCAAAGTAGAAATTTTTCAAATGGCAAGGAAAGGAGGAAGATGGAAGAAACAGGAAAAAAACCTTTTATTTATTTCCCTAGGAAGTAAAATCCAATGTCCCTTCCACCATTATCAGCTGGGAAGATGTTAAGTGTGTATCTATGTCATTTTCTCTTGTGACATGTCAACAGAAAATCCACACCCCCTCCTCCTATTCTCACTTCTCTGCCTCCCCTACCCAAGCTTTGAAAGATCCTACCCCACACCCTTTCTGCATACTCAGCCTTAGTTACTTCTTAAATTTTGTCCCTGAAACAAACGAGCTGGTTGCTAAAATAACGATGATGATGAGTCCAAATCACATTTCTTATTTTTGATGGCTGGAATTTTTGTGCAATTAAAGACTGTTACAAAAATCTACCCAAATACTTGCCTTGTTTTTTCTCCCATAAGCTCTATTTCTTGCTTCACTTTCCCCCTCTCCTTTTCTCCCTTTTCCTCCTCTCCCTTATTTAGGAGCAGCAATCAAAGGCAAGCATCTTGCTTCGTTATTCATTATTATAACAGCATCTTTGAGACGCATCTTTGCCAATGAAAACTCTATGTAGTTGCCTATTCTTTTGTTGTAGCAGCCTAGGTTATTCAGGAGCAGAGACAAAAGCCTGAAGTGATGTGATCTAAATGAGCTCTGGGGTTTTCCAGCTGGGACCACCTCCATTTCAAAGGACCCCCTCCTTCCCAATATGAGGAGGAGGGGTGGGGAGGGGGCGGGTACACATGTGTGTGCTTGCACTGAAAGAGAGAAAGGAGAGAAGGAAGAGAGCAAGCCTAGTGGACTATTCCTAGTGCCAGTGTCCCTTTTAGATGCACATTTGCAGGTGTGTTCAGGGAACAGGCATCCATAAGCTTCTATGTGTCTTTAGGTATTTCGTGAGGCTTTGAATTTGATCTTGGTCAACTAGTATTTGTTAAAGTACCCCAAGTTCAAGTTCTATTTTCCTTTTTTTTTTTTTACTTCATTTAAGCTATGTGCACATGTACCATGTACGTATCCTGCATTGTTTACGGGTTTGTGAAGATTTATGAAGAATTGTGAATTACTTGTTTTTATAAAAGAAAGTTCCATAAGTAATGTTTCCAGTAGTCACCATCCTCTGTGAAGTTGTGTGATAAAAGCTTTCTCTGCCACATCCTCAGGTGCAAGTTTTCTTATAAGAATGATGTCCTCCAATTAATGAGAGTTAATTCTTGGTTTCTTCTCCCATTGTCTCTATTCTCACAAAGCTTTTCGAAGGGCAAGAAGGACTCTCACTGATTCCCATAGCCATTGGTGCATGAGGAATGCAAGGAGTAACTGGGGCAGGGATCCAAGCTTTGCAAAATGCATTCATTTTCCCTTCCTTTTTCCAATTCTAGGTTAGATTTTTAGGTTTGTGCTTTCATTGTACTTCTGGCCCCAGGGGGAAAGGGTCCTTGTTTGCAGACAATATTTTAGAGAAGGCTCAAAGATTAAGAACCAGCCTCAGACTACTCAAAGACCTTTATCATTTCTTCTATGGTTTTCAGTATGAAGGAGTCTTTGGTTTGCTCTGGATCCTTGGTTTTCTTCA